CCGTCTCAGTGCACACACGCACAAGTTCTTTTTACAGTTCAAGTTTCTTTTCTTTATGTATATTGTCTTTCGTACAATAAATATTTCGTTCTTGTAATAAGTAATTCTCACAAGTAATCGAGCATTGCTATAAAGTGTCTGCTCCTCTGTAATCCCTTCTCTCTGCCCGGCTAAAAATCAAACAATAATCAATCAAAAACGTTTCAGTGGCATCACATACTTTCTAATCTCATTAAATTCTTACATTATTATGCCTATTTACATTACCATTCCTTCCGCTAAAGTTTCATCTGGCAGAAGATCATCGTTCTACGTTAGGTCAATTATCGCTCCTATAATTATTCTTTATTTAATATCTATACGATTATATATCTGAATAAATACATTAATCCTTGTAAAAGAAGCAATTCATATCTGGATTTGCTTTTTCTGCAATTCTTAAGGATTCCACTGCCGAATTGGAAACTGTTATAGTGATTCACACATGTCAGAAACAAGGGTCAATTACCGTAATCAAATTTCCTTATACACATACGCGAGGATGACTCCAAAGAGAGTTGAAACGTTCGTTTTTAATGTAAGGGAAGAGGGCAAATAGTGTCACTTTAAATTTCTTCTCTTTCCCGCGTCTATTTTACCACTGCTCGTTAATAGAAAGACTGCAGTTCTCAAGCATCTAATCATCTTCTAAAAAAGTCATAAAACTCAAAAGCCAAATATAACTAGCAGAAAAGTTTAAAATATTGCATTTGTGAAATAAGGTAAAATCTGGATCTTTTTTGGATATTTGAAATTATTTTTCTTAATTGCTAAATCATTGAATGAGAACTAACCTATTCTATGTCATTCGGTATCTTTTTCCTCTATTTTAATATAATTCCTATGCTTGTATATTAATTTTATTTCTCTCAATAAAGTTTTAAAGGAAAAAGACTCTGGGGCAAATAATGACAATTTTTAGTTGGGTAAATAATGACAAATCAAAAAGCTTTTTTAATATTGAAATATGATTTTTCTAATTTATTTGGGTTAATGTGAGATTAGTTACAAGGCAAGATCCATAATAAATGTGATTTTCAATCAGAAATGCTAGCAAATAATATTACTACTATTATTTATTAATAAATAAAAATTTACATATGGTAGAGTATAGAAATTAATATTAATTAACTTATTTAATCAAAATTTCAAAAAAAAAAAAAATTAATTAAGAGTTAAGAATTATGTATTTTGTAATTGTTCCATAGGGTGTCACTATTTACCCATAGAATGGAGCAAATAATGACAAATCTAGGTTTCAGTTTTTATGAAAATCTAGCCCGTATACATGATTTATGGAAACTCTAATTAAGTTTTTTGTATATTTGAAAGTGGAAAGTACTCTTTTAGTGAAAAATCATATCTTGTAAAATTGAAATTAGCTTGTAGGAGAGAGAGGAAAGAATCCGTCACTATTTGCCTTCTCCCCTTCCCTTACTAATATTTGTAAATATATTTTTTTGAGCACCAAAAACTGCTTTGGCTTTTATTAACCTTATTTATTTTGTACTTTTTAAACTATAAACTATATAACTTTTCACTAAATTCATTCATTTGCGAGTCACCAGATAGACGCAGCAAGATTCTTATTTCTCATAAATAAACAACTGCATAGGATAAAATAAAAGACATAGCATGATAGCATTTTGTCTGAATTCTTGTGAGATAGTTCCCTAAAACAGTTTTGATAAGAATTAATAAATGCAATAAAAATTATTTAAAGGTTTATTTTAATTACACATTTTATTGTAATATTCAATGCGTTATAACATCATAAACTAAAAAAAGAAAAAACATCGAACAGAAATAAATCGAAGTCATAATACACGCAGACTATTACACAAAAATATGTTCTCTTATAATTCATGTATTTTTATACTATTTTATTGGAAGCATCGTTTTTCTATTTTGATTTTTATATAGGATGTCTCTGTCTCTTATTAGTGTGCCTTTAAGAAAATTCGTTCATTACTGAATTAATTACTAAATACTGAAGCTTTCAATTTGTCTGTTTAAAATTAATATCGATTTTTCAAATATTTCTTTTTTTTATAAAATTTGTTTATGTAAAAAATATTAATATTTTAATATATTTTAATAAAAATAAAAACAATGTTTTGTTCCAATTAGTGTGCCCCTCCACGGTGCGATGGCCATATTAATAGCCTCCCAATTTATGTGCCTGTCTACATTTATGTGCCTTCTATTACTGTACCTGTCCGTATTTGTGTGTCCCTTATTGGTGTGTCCTTATTAGATTTTGGGTTAGCCGAGTTAGCCGCCTGACAGTGAAAACAGGAGAGCTAATAGGGCCACTAATAGGGACAAGCCTTAAAATCTTGCGGTATTATTGGACTCATATAATAAATAACATAAAATACTTCTAAAGTATTTAGGTACTTCACTATTTTATTAAATTAAACCAATTTATGATATAAGATCGGAAGAGCACA